GGTGGCATATGAAAAACCTGCCCCGTTAAACAACCCATCATAAGCTTTTAAGTACTGTCACGAACTATCACGTAGACATCGATCTTGTTAGATCTTGCCACAGAAAAATATGTCCTTTGTACAGTCAGTAATGCTTACAATCCTATGTTAATATCTGGCGTGCAAAAATGTATGTAGTCACGCACTATGTAACAAATTACATAGAATAAATACTGAAATGGTCTGAAATATATCATTAGACGTAAAATAATATGACAAGAGCCATAATGGTAATAAGAGTATAATAAAATGGACTGTCGGGATCATAGCAGATGTCTTGTGTCTTCTCTTTTGAGAAGAGTTTTTCTCAACAAAGGGCCAAAGAGTGGCTCAAGTCTTATTTAAAACATATTGAAAATGGTATAGTGTCGTACGGAGTTATAAAAAACATAGTATTTTGCGTTGCCGTCTAACATTTATTCGTTTTATGAAAACTCATTTTCCCGGTCAGGAAAACCAAAAAAAGAAACATTTACATGGCTATATCGCAGACCGTGTATTTAGTACATAGTGGCTAAAGGAAGGCTTCCCTCAGGGGCTACTAGAGTCCCTAACTCTGTCACATCCAATAGCGATACCGGTAGCGATTCCGATCTTTTTATACAGGAGGAGGTAAAACATCGACATGCCTTTTATCCAGAAAAAAAATGAAGCAGACAGTAACGCCAAAACCAAGTTTTGTAGCGCCACAGTTTTAAAGTTAGCGGTAGTTAAAAAATTAAAATATTTAATTTATACTATTCGGTTTTAAGTAAATATTAAAAAAAACTAAGAAACTAAGAAATATAACATAGTAATTGAAAATCCTCATACTCAAATAGCCATACAACATATCTATAGTTCATGAAGCAGGGGAATAGTTTGCGAACGTCCTAGTTGCAGTGGAATATCGGTAATGGCTGGAAATCTTCACAAACTACGTGACTGGCAATCTATATACAAACAATATACGTTTTAACTTTTATTTCTCGTAAACCTTATTTTGATGCTTTGTTTTAAGTTTAAAGTTGTGTTTTATTTTATTTTTTTATAGAACAGGGCGCAAACGGGCAGAAGGTTCATCTGATGTTAAGTGATACCGCCGCCCATGGACATTCTCAAAGCTGCCCTGCGATTCTGTAACTCACTTTTCGAACTCACACAGCGGTTTTCGCATCGGCGGTCGCTCTCAAATCAGTCGTGAAGCAGTCATTTTATGATTTGGCATTCTGATAAACAATAAACTACAAGCTCCCAACTTTTCAGAATGCCAAATCATAAAATGACTGCTTCACGACTGATTTGAGAGCGACCGCCGAAGCGAAAACCGCTGTGTGAGTTCGAAAAGTGAGTTACAGAATCGCAGGGCTGGCCTTTTAAGAATTGGTCTGTTCTTTTCTTGAAGGACCCTAAGTCGAAATGGTTCGAAAATACTTCAGTGGGCAGCTGGTTCCACATAGTTGTGGTGCGCGGCAAAAACAATTTATAATTAACAGTATATATCTCGTATTAAATATTTAAAAATATTATTAAACCCAACTAATTGAGGGAACTTGTATAACCCAAAGCTAGCTATTTTTATACATTTATTCTTGCATTTGGTATTTAATTATATGTTTTAAAAGTATATGATATGAAAAAACCAAAATTGAATATCACGACTTATTAGTATTATTAACTTCTAACTATTCCAGCTGGGTGGTACTACAAAAGTTGTTCTTGGCCTAAGAATTCTCGTATTTCTTGCTATCTGTCTCTTAGAACATTATTCTTCACGTACTCGTAATCAGTTTTCTGAGTAAGTTTAAAAATAGTTTGGTAAAACTATCGTCTAGGTACTTAAGTTCAAATTTATAATCGTGCTAGTCTACTACTATACAAAATATAAGAGAATTAGTATAAATAATGGTTTTCCTCACGAGAATGCCCGTGATTTTATTCTAAATTTAACATTTTGACTAACTTCAATAAAAATAAATCAATCACCCTAAAATATATGCGTGTACTCATTTAGATAAAACTGCAATTAGGATAAAAGGCCAATTTATTCCCTTGAAGTACTTTCACTTAAAGCTCATTACCTGTCTCTAGGACCAAAATTAGCTCATTAACCTGAAGCCATGTTAATTATCATGTTTAAAGGTCAGTATAATTTATGTTATTATCTGGGCCCTAATGAACGCTATTCAGTCTAGATGTCGTTAAAGCGATACTACGTTTTTTTACTATTATTATTATTACATTCTTTTTCTTTTATTGCGTCTGAGGCGCAAACTAGCTGTTATGGTCTCTGGCAGAATGACCAGCGCTGTGGAACACGTCTGCTCCACAGCATAATGCTGAGCCAGGGCCAGTTCCAACCACAACACACATACATTACACACTTAAAATGTACCTTACTTTTTTTTATTATTATTATTTTGTGTGTTTCGTAAGTAATAAATGTTATATCTATGTCTATATGTCTTTGTTTTGATTTTCAGTCTCATTAATATATCCTAGGTTCTTAAATATTAAATTTTTGCGAACATTTTACTTAAAACAATAAATAATCAAATGTCTTTGCTTGTGTAGTCTTAATACACAATTTTATGATTTATTTTTAGTCCGTCAAAATGACAGTAAGTGTAAATTTTGAGTACTTTAATTCCGTAGAATTATTTATCTATGTTTTTAACTCTTAGGTTAGAAGCACGGTTATTTACTTAAATGAGACTTAAAACATAACCATACAGAGTTTACATGAATTCAGTCCAGTTCTAATAATAAATATAAAAGTAGTAAGCAAATATTTTACATACTCATATTTATATTTGTTTGATCAGCAAATATAATTTGCTACATAATATACGTCAATTTGCTGTATAAAGAAATAATGTACTTCAGTGAAGTTCAATTTCAACATTTACTAATACCAGAAACTGGGTTTCATGAGACGTTGGAGCTGAAGGCCACTTAATTGTGTCTATTGTGTCTGCCGTTCCACAATTTAACATTTTTTTATGGTAATATAACGTAGGGTAATTAAAAGACCATTTCATTGACCATACTATGTGAATAGGATCTATGAGTTCATTACGTCCTGTTTTTTTAAGTAATCAGAGCTTAGTTCTTTTGTTGAATTCTATATATATTTAGAGGCAATATAAAAATCAATATTAGCCTAGTTTTTTAATAGAAAGGGGCAAACGGGCAGGAGGCTCATCTGATGTTAGCGCCATGATATGATAATGCCCATGGACTTAATGCCAGACGGCTCACGAGTGCGTCGCCGTTCTTTTTAGCCTAGTGATTTCAGCGAGCGATCTTCAATCTCACTCGACCAAAGGATTTTTCTACGTGCTTCATTAACATTATCACCGTAAGGAACCTATTATGTCTAGGACCCTATAATAGAAGAGATGAGGCAAAGAAAGCTGATCACCTACTGGGGTACGAAAGAAAATTGACCAAGATCCATATGAGGTTGTAGTGCCATTAGGACTCTTGTAGAAATAAGTATCTTCTAAGGTTACCAAGGATATTTGAATTGATCACCAAGATATATTTATTTATACAGACTTTAATTGTAGATAAATAAAAGTCAAAGTCTAATCATTTATTTCTATTAGGCCTAAGATAATTAAAATGACGTTCATATAGAGAAGAATGGGCAAGAAACTCCATACTTACTCTTTTAAAATAGTTTTTACAATATTTTGTATTCATTGATTTGATTATTATATGTGAAGAATTAAAACTACAATACTAAATTAAAATAGGGGCATGATGTTATAAAAAAATGCTATATAACTGAATTATAGTGTAGATACATGGTGCTCACATATTTACAAATATTGCAACTGTAGATTTGACATTATTCTTTATAAAAAAATAAATAACTAACATACAGTCAAACTTACAAGTTATCTAGTTGATAAGAGGGCCTGGGACTAGTGCTAGACAGGCTACTTCTAATTAATTTGCGATATTTGTTTTAAAATAAGTGTTGTTTGATGATTTGCTATTTTAAAAGAGTACCGAGAGTTTTTTACGCCGGCTTTTTCTCTAGGCCTACACCCTCTGTCTTCTTTGCCGATGAGTAAGGATGCCTACAGATTCAAATTTAATGACGTAGAATAAGTGATACCTGTATCTTATATTCCATAATAAACATATATTATTTTATTTCAAACAGTGTGTGAGCTACGTCACAATTAATTTCTTTTTGTTAATTAACAACCAGTTCATTTAGACTAGTTGGATTGTCCTTTGGAGCAGGACCAGCATGTTTCCCAGAAATTTTATCTTGATACAATGTTGTATCTTGTTATAATTATTAAAAATATAATTATTCTCGTAGGCTTATCAAAGTTATCTTGACTTATTATTTAGCCAGTTACGTAACGTGCTTGTTTAATGCACAATTAATTAATTTTGCCAATACATTCGGGTTTTCAGTAATTTATTTGCTTAAAAATTCCATGGCTTGTTTGTTAATGAGATGTTTACATCCTGACATTGAACTTGTTTACGCAACCGATGTGTCAAGTTGATAACGCTTACACTGTTCAGTAGTCATTTATCGATATCAATAAAATTGTACTGATTAATAACAAATTACGATATATAAATCAGAAATACGAATCATTTAGTACATACTAAATATGTACCTAATCTTTCTATAATATTGTTTTTTATCATTTAAAATGTGATGGCTAAAATTACAAAATATAAAACATTTATTAATTTAAAAAATGTAACATATAGATATTTTAAAATCGCTAAAGATACACAGCAGGAGAATAAAGTAATAATAATATAAATTTTACTCGATGTTAAAATATCTGAAAGATAGTCGTAAAAATACACAAGTTTTCCGTTATCTCCAACCAAAACTTATCTCATTCAACGCACACTGTCATTTTCCTGATAGCGGCGCGGGATGCGATGGCCTTTGATAACAGCGATTAGTACTATTTAAACCTAACGCTAGTCTAGACATGAACGTCGCTGTAGTCATCGGGGCTGCCAGCAACCTAGGATATCACGTATTGAAGAAACTCACAACAATCTACGATGGGAAAATCTACTTCACAACAGAAGATGAAACTATCGGCTACCACGTTTACGAATCCCTCAACAAAAACCCTAATCTCGAATACTTTAGAATGGACATAACATATACAAAGAGTATCATCAACCTACGGCATCTCATTCAAGACCGAGACGAGAGGATAGAGCTCCTGATAAATAATACGGATTATGTATCAGAGAAGAACTTGGCACGGGCCGAAAAAGTACGCCGGACGCTTAGTGTAAATTTCTACGGTTACATAAATTTTGGTAAACTTGTTTATCCTCTGTTGACTGAAAACGCCAGAGTTATTAATGTGTCAGGCCCCGCGGGACTCTTGGCTACGATCAAGAATGAAGAGATCAGAGCGAGAATTAGTAATCCAAATATTACAGAAGATGAACTGGTTGCTTTGATGCAGGAGTACGAAGAAGCCGTCAGAAGGGGAATTGAGAAAACTGAAGGATGGGGTATGAGTATGCATTCTGTTAGTAAGGTGGCCCTCAACGCTGTAACGTTTCTCCAACATAGAGAATGGTCTGAACAAGGCGTAATGATAAACTGCGTGAATCCCGGAAGCTTATCTAGTAAAGAAGACAGAAAATCAACAAAGGTGTACGAGGAAGGCGCTAAGGCTGTTTTGTTTCTAGCAACAGAGGCACCGTTGAGTTTAAAAGGCAATTTCGTATGGAGCAATTACAATGTGATTCCTTGGAACACAGATCCATTCGTCGAAGTGACCACTGTGTGAAATGAGGTTAAAATCAGAAACGCAAAATGTTTTAAGTGCGTACTTGTGAACTGCTAAAGCGAAGACTCTTTTGCTGGAATAAAGGATTCAAAGCTGCAAATTGTTAGGATTTTATCGAGATTTTTATATCTGCAATAACTGTAACTGGTAGTTTTGTCTTTAGAATTTATGGGCTATAATAACAGAGGCTAAGCAGTGCTCGCATTCGCGCGGTCATTAAAACAAGAATATGTCTCGCCTCTCGCTAACTTGTAGATATACGCGTTTGCATTTGTTCGAAAATTTAACATAGCCTTCTCGTTTTACTTTTAGTATGGGTTAAAAGTACTATTTACATTATTAACGTAACCTAAAGTTCAAAGTTAGCTTTCTATGTACAATTATTACTATGTAATTATGGGTATTCAGATTGTATATTTGAACCGTATTTTAAAAAACTACTTCTTATCTATATTCAAATATAACTAAGAATAGGGAATTGTTTACGTTGACCTAATAAATAGAAATAATAATTTTTAAAGAAGCATTTTCTGCAACAAAAATACAATTCTAGCACTAGATAATATATTCCTGATATATTCAGGTCAGATATATTATTTTAAATATATTATATTTTCATATATTAAAATGTAATATTTACTGTTGTAAATAGTTAAATTTCTGTTGATTTTCGTGTGTTTCGTACATATTAAATCATTGACTAAAAAATTTATATTAACTAATCTATCTAATAGATTTTTGAAAAATAATTTGAAGTAATATATTTTATTGTAAGAATCCTCTCAAGTTTTGAATTGTTGTAAGTCATAAATAAAAGTTAAACCAGGCGACTATATCACGAGGTCGTTGCATCTTTTATGGTTGTTGTTGTGATTTCTACTTTTGCGGACAAAGTACGGAATGTCGCATATAAAATACTTGCGGTAACTATGAACTATACACATTTCGGTCTTATTGGAGCTTTATATCTCACGACTAGTTTTTAAAATTAAATATTTCATATTTATATTCAGTGTAATCATTTTTATAATGAAACAAATTGTTACATAGAAATGCAGCTAATTAAATTACAATGTGTTAATTTGTTTATTGGATCAACTATTATGAAACTCATTATAATATGTACTCCTATTATTTAGAGTAATTTAATTAATAAAATATAAAAAATATACATTATTTTAAGTAATTGTCTTAAAATAAAAATAACATTGATACTGAATTATGAACTATATCATTAAAAAGTCTTTTATTTCTGTAAAATTCATTATATTTAAAATTTGTTGATCGCCTTTGTAGAAGGCCAAGTACAGAAAGCTGTTTTGCCTTTTAAAAAACTGATAAATAAGGACCAAGTTATAATACCAGAATGGTTTTATTTGTAATGGAGAAAATGCTACTTTAAAAATTTGTATTTCTCTTTATTAGGTCAACGTAACCAATTCAATTGTTATCAAATCTGTCTTATCTATAATATTTCAGTATTATTTTAATCTATATTACTGAAGAATGTTACAAATATGATTTAAAACATGTGATAGGACCTATTTTATTAATGCATTGTTTTAACTTAAAACTACAAACATTTGCTCTAGTAATCTACTTCTAAGTACGTTCTTGTGATGACCAAATTACATATTTAATAAAACTGATTATAAATAAACTTTCTATAAATGTATTCTATGGTCTTTGGCCCCACTTTGACTTATCTATGTACTTTCCAAAAGAAAATTCACAAGTGACCACCCACTCCAATCTCCCAACACCTGATCCCATGAGGTCACCTTCAATAATAGATTCTAGTGAATTGAGAAATTTCGCCATTTTTGAAGTCCATTTATCGAGATAAATTTATTTACTGTTATTTGCCGTCACTTTGCTACAAGTCGTAAACCTTTGCACTGTAAATGGTCTTAATAAAACTTAATCTATTCAGATCACTACAACTTTAATTATTCTGCAAATGTTGTTCAAGTCGTGTTTCTTTCACTTTGCAAATTGCTTGCACGGGTTTAAGAAAGCAACAGAACCTTTTCCAAAAAAATTTCGTCAGTCTCTTTTCAACACACGTAAAAACAATTTGACAGAAAGTAAGAGAAAAGAAAGAGTATTTTAGTTGATAGAAAGCAGTTAGAGTTTTAGTTTTTATGAATAGGGGTCGAAGAAAAACCTAATAATTGTTTAAATAGTCGTTCATAATCACTGTCACTGGTATTTTGTGTGTCACGACACAGAATACACATTTATACGCCATGCTTATGCTGCCAACATTACAGCTTCTTCTTAAAGCGTGTTCTGTTATTTTGCGAGTCAACTGCGAGTAGTGACGTCGCGTGCGCACTCCTTTCCCCCTCACTTGCGGCGTGCCTGCCAAAACACGTATGGACAGACAGCACTATAGACTCTTCGGTCAACCTGAGAGCAAAGTAATATTCCGTCGTATCTTCAGCAGCCAATTCCTTATAGAGTTGGTAGCCACGCCAATCTTTTTTAAATTAATTTCTTGGTCTCGCAAGTTCTGCTTACAAAACTTCTTCGGTTTCACATAGCACCGCGTTTGATACTTCTTTCAGTACAGCTTCCAATTGCAAGCGCTTTTCGACGTTCGTCTAAACTTGCTGATCGACAGCTATCGACAACTGAATTTACTTAACAGAGCCACTAAACAAAAATTGGACACTACTTGCACTACACACCTGCACTAATCATCCTCAAATACTAATCACTTGCACTAATCAAAGTGAATACATGCCTTTATGTTATGTAAACAGATGGAACAAATATTCTGGAGACGGCTGCCTCATATGATATAATTTAGAAATTGTTCTAATTGTATCCTCGAAAATGAACTCGGAAAGTCATTTACTTTGACAATGTAGTGTCTCAAAACAACTTCGACCTTTGATCGTCTGGCCAGTACTTAAAAAGCTAACTTTTCAAATTTGATCACATCGTTTGCGACAAAATATGAGTATATCTAATCGACACAATCTTTAAGTATATTTAAACAAGAAACACTTTTGAAAGGCCGTAAATGATATGTTCATTAAAAAAGAAATGCAAGCAAATATCAAAGCGTCACGAGATAATAATTAAAACCTAATATCTCTATACAAAATGTGACATGAAAGAAAATGAAACATCAGTTTAGAAGCAGAATATTTGTTTAAAAACAACACAAAGTAAATGTTTCCTTTACAAGTTGTGATGAGCGTGAAACTGCTGTCATAAGTTGAAAGAACAACAGTGATGTAAGTGGAAATATGATCGCGGGTGTTTTCTTTGAGTTACTGTATATACTGTACTCTGTGTAATCATTCTATATTAACTGAAGAGTTGTCAAGTTAGCTTCTTATTGCAACTGCTAACAAGATTCATCCCGTTACAGTAGTTTGCTACAAGTTAACTTATATGGAGGAATACGCTAAATGAAAATATGTGAATTTCAAGCAAAGAATTAATTAAACTGTTAGTATTGTTTGTGGACATTGCAATTAGTCAAAACAGCCGGCGTCCTTCCGTAAAATTTCTTATTTTCTTTCAGAAGTTCGGAAGTTGCAGGCTTTTTTAATGGTATGAAATTCAGTGTGGGCTGTTTATATATGGCTATAATATATGCTTGTACAAACACAGTCGGTAAATAATATAGCATCAAGTTCAAATTTACTTTTGTTTACGTTGTTGAACGTTATTGGTTCCATATATTGACCACATTCAAAGGACTGTACATTTAATTTATTTCCGAATGAAGGTATATTTTGAATTCATTTCCAATTATTCCGATTTCCAGGAAATTTATTTAATAAACTTCGTGATTTATGATGTATTAAATGTATATTACAATTTTTTATTTCAGTTACGAATAATATTTTGAATTAATAAAAACCACATTGTTTTTATATCTAATTCCGAGTTACCTAACATTTGTTAAGTTACATATATATATATTTTAGTTAATTATTATTTAAGCAATTAACGCACATTTGAAGCCAAAATGAGGCCTTTAGTTTTTTCCACACTCATAAATTGTACTATAACATTTTCGTTTCCGATTATGTCCAATAGGTCACCTACACTTATATTCTATATAGGTAATATAAGTGTCACTTAGATTTAAGAACCCTTAAAATAGCCAAGTTCGACAACCCCACTACCCCTAATTTTATGTCAGTTATAAGCTCATATTTTAAGCTATTTTAGCCAGTTTACACCCAGCTTCAAACAAAGAGTTTCATTTAAACATATTTGAACATCCCTACAACAACCGCCACCGAACTTCCGTAAAACCTCATTTACATCTTTTTCTTAAAATGAGAAATTTTGGTCTTCAAATTGAAGTTGACGTCCATTATTGCAGCAATTGCCTGAGAAAAAAGAAAACTTTGAGTTCAATTTACTTCTTAAGTGAAAAGTAGAGCTTACACGATCGGAAAACAATTACGCGTCAAATCTATCCAATTTTTGTTTAACTTTCAATATCCATAATTATCTAAATCTGAGCGTTTTTTAAAGCAGTTCTTGCCGCGCACCACCGCTATGTGGAACCAGCTGCCCACTGAATTATTTCCGAACCAATTCGACTATAAAAGAGAAAGAAAAGAAAAAAAGAAGAAAGAAAAGTAAAGAAAAAGGAAAAAAAAAAAAAAGACCGTACCAATTCTTGAAAAGCCGACAACGAACTTGCAACTTGCGTCTGGCAACTGGTGCGCGACGGTACCTTACCATCACGAGAGCCCGTTTGCATCCTTTTATATAAAAAAAACACCCATATAGGAATGTCCTAAGACCGATTGAAACGCCACTGGTTTATTTTAGAGAATAATACATTATTTGGACAAGAAAAATATAATATTGATAGATAACAAGAGATATTGGCTTTGTGCTCCAAAAGAAATGCATTTATAATCACGTAATAAAACAGATTTTATGCATCTCAGAATACTTGAATCGTAATTCTGTAGAGTATGTCAAAGTTAGTGGATTTGACATAAAGGCATCGATTT